ATCCACACATGGAACTAGAGTTGGGGGTATTGTTTCCACACGGACATATATGTGGTTACCTTTATATGTTGTGTGCCCTCCTGGCTCTTTCTCTTGTTGTCCCGGGCTGCGACCCGACAACAGAAAAAAAAAGTGTGCAAATGTATTTAGTATCCTATCCATGTGAACATGGTTTAGATGGGGGTGGACCTAACCTCCTCTAGGAGGGTCCGGGGGCTAGCCCCCCCGGGAAGATTTTGGTGCACTTTGAGAGCAAAATTAAGAGATCTATGGATACATCTCTCAACACCCATTTGAAACAGAACTGTAAACAGATGTACTTTTTCTTTATGGATATTTTACTAATCACTCCCCTTTTAAACTGTATTCTTGTTTTACTGTCCTAGAGTATTTCAAACCTGTTCATTTATTCTCTTATTTTTTAATAACTATAATGATCAGTGGCGTCGCCTGGCCTTAAAGCCCCAAATGTTTTTTCTGTAGCCCCGGACAATTCTCCCTCAATAATATAATACATTAACCGTGCTTTACCTGAACCTCATCATGACACTAGAGAGGACGGTAGGACTGTAATTTCCCGTGTTCAGTGAATGCAACAGAGGCAAGACACCAGACCAATCAGAGAGTTGCATGGAAATAAACGTATGCTTAGGCGCATTCACACCGCAGTACTTTTCCCACAAAGGTTCATGAGAACTTAGTTCATGAGATCTCTTTTGTCGCGTTCACACCAAAAAGAGCCGGTACTCAAATTAGTTCATGAGAACCTTTTTACCCCCAGGAAAGTCCCTGCTAGAGAGCAGGGACTTTCTCTTGTGAGAAAAGAGCTATATTTCTGATTGGCTGGGCGTATTGCAAACCACGCCCCGTAAAACTCCCAAAAAGTTTTGCACTAAGCCAGTATCTATTTTCATCTAATATTTTAATTAGAAAGAGCTTTTCAATCAATATTCTATCATATACATTATTTAGTGTGCATTGAGATTTAACATATAATGCTTGACGAAGTTCCCAAATAATCCCAAAGGTTTGTATGTGAGATTTAATTAGTTAACAGAGCAAATAATGACAAATATTTCCCTGAACGTGAACAGGAAGATTGTTAAAATTATTGTAAAATGTGCACTTCACAAATCACCCAGCAGGCTGCAGCCTTTTAAAGGAATTTGCAGTAAGATTTAAATAGAAGTGCTTAGGCGCATTCACACCGCAGTACTTTTCCCACAAAGGTTCATGATAACTTAGTTCATGAGAACTCTTTTGTCGCGTTCACACCAAAAAGAGCCGGTACTAAAATTAGTTCATGAGAACCTTTTTACCCCCAGGAAAGTCCCTGCTAGAGAACAGGGACTTTCGTGCGGCTCTCTTGTGAGAAAAGAGCTATATTTCTGATTGGCTGGGCGTATTGCAAACCACGCCCCGTAAAACTCCCAAAAAGTTTTGTGAAGCCGCCATTTTATTATCCTCGCATTAGCATTATTAGCATTAGCATTAGCCCAGCGCAGAAACGCAGAGAGACTAACTTATGGCAACACAAAATAAAACATGGGAGCGGTGGAGATGAGGAGGTGTCGGCGTTCTGGCGATTTACTCGGAAGGCTTCAGTAGAAGCTGCTGGGAGTCCCAGCAGCTTCTACTGAAGCCAGTCCCCAACTCCGGGGACTTCCGGCCGGGGACTTTGGGCGGCAGTATACGCCGTGAAGTGGTTTGCGGCCTGCCAGTAAACCCAAAGCAGAAGAAGAAGAAGTGACGTCAGCGGCTTCATTTGCCTAATCCACCCCCAGGGATTTATTCCGGTGTGAACGCGATCTGTTCAGTTCATGAGAACTAAAGAGTTCTCATGAACTAAGTTCTCATGAACCTTTGTGGGAAAAGTACTGCGGTGTGAATGCACCTCTTGTGTCATTCAAGCTCGGCTCTGTGTACGTGTGTGGCAATAGCGCATTTAGTGTGATTGAGCGAGAGAGAGAGAGAGAGAGCGAGAGAGAGAGTGAGAACGTGTTGACCGGTGCCAGCAGGGACCGTGTTGTTAGCATCTGGTTAGCTAGCTGCACTAACGGACATAAGGAGCTGTTTCCACAACAAGCTGGAGGAGAGTCCTCTCCTCTCAGACTGAGAGACTCAGGTGAGCTAAAGGTCTCTCTGAGTGTTTAGATCAGGGATGGGCAAATGGCGACCCATGTCTACCCTACTTTTATAATTTTCGAATCATAAATCGAATCGCCAGAAGCAAAATGCTAACGTTATGCTATAAAGAAACTACAGCCAAGTACAGCAGCACGGCTTCAACGTCACGCCGACTTAAGATCCATATTCAAAAATATAGATTCAAAATTGTACAAGTTGAATTGTTTGTTTGAACAGTTTGCAGGAGGCAGTAGGGTTGCCAACCGTCCCGTATTAGCCGAGACGCCCCGTATTTGAGCCAAAAGGGGCGTGTCCCGTAAGGGACTTTGTTTGTCCCGGACTCCCGTGTAAAGGGAAAAATAAAACATATTTTTCTGTTTGCGCAATTCAGTGTGTGTTTGTGTGCTGTATGCGAAGGGCGCAACCGCTCAGTTGACAGGGCAGGCACAATGCTCGCACGTGAGTAGTGCTGCGTACCTGGACTCACATTCAGGTTCAGGTCCGGACTCAAGTCCAGAGGTTCAGGTTCAGGTCCGGACCTATAAGTCCGGACCTGAACCCATGGCTTGTGTCAAGTTGTGTGACTAAAGTGAACTTATTGTGAGCTAATTATCAATTGAAAATTAACTCATAATCAACTCAAATTCAAACTCGTCAGGTTTATTGTGCTCCCTTCCAACTTGTGTCTACATTTCTCTACAAAGTACAAATGTAAAAAAAAAACAAGTCTACAATGACTTATGACAGCAACTACAGTGAACTACTACAAAGTTCAAACATTTATTTCATTTACCAAACTAAAGTAACCAAACAGTCCCTGAGCTGACTGAGCCTAAATCCCTAAAACGTTGCTGAAAGGTAGAGTGTAGAGTAGACTATACGCATTACACTGTTACACACCTACTATACAGTATAGGCTACACTGTAGGGACTGTACAGTCAGAGTGTACTGTCTGTACACCATGTCTTTTCTACAACTCTACATGTGTACATTATACAGTACATACTACATACATAGTGATGTACATAGATACTGTTAGAAATTAAATTCAATGTTCATATGGCGTAATTTTGAATTAAATACACTATTTAATTTAAATCAATTTTATTCTGAAAAAAACGGAAGTTCACACTATTAATTTAATACTTTTATTCTGAAAATTATTCACTTCCGGTTAGCATTAGCATGTGGCGAAATGCTACGTTTTCAAACCGTGAATCGAAGGTGAAATGACATGTGATGTTGTACACTGAGCACACTGGGATTAGCACTCATTTATTGACGCTGAATAACGTTTATCAGGGAATGTTTAAATAACCACAGACACCAGAATATACGTAAGTGGTAATTTGTTTGCGAGTCCAAGTACCGGTTCCCGACGTTCCGGTTTTAACTGGACTTGAACCGAAACTTTTTACAAGTCCAGTACCGGTTCGGCGTACCGGTACGCAGCACTACACGTGTGTGTGTGTGTGTGTGTGTGTGTGTGTGTGTGTGTGTGTGTGTGTGTGTGTGTGTGTGTGTGTGTGTGTGTGTGTGTGTGTGTGTGTGTGTGTGTGTGTGTGTGTGTGTGTGTGTGTGTGTGTGTGTGTGTGTGTGTGTGTGTGTGTGTGTGTGTGTGTGGGTGGAGGTAGAGCTGGAGGGAGAGGACGTGGACAAAGAAGAATACTCTCTAATGAAATGAAATGGTTTGACTATGAGAGAGGCTGGACAGAGGGTTCAGCCTAATCTAAGCCGGTTTACTGTTGCCTCTGTAATCCGGACACTTACAGTTTTTCTCGATTGCTAACACCATTTTTTTTAATTGCTCAGTTTCTCAGAACACTAAACACAATTCACAAAACCACACACCCAAAGTGCAAAACACCTAATTTCTCCTGCTAAATGAAGAACTGCACTCAAAACTACATAAACACTTACCAAATGCAAACTTTTGCACCAAATATAACACACTTCATTCATAATACTAGATGGTTTGACCATCCAGCTACACACTGCTGAGCATCATCTAAAGCACTTTAATCTTGTATGGGCTATGCTCTGTACACAGAGGGTTCTGCAGAGAAAGATTGCTGGAGTATACAGAAATACAGTAAATGAAGAAATACAAATGAGTTGTTGAAACTTGAAAGAAATCACATTTTATTCAAAAATAACATTGTGCAACATGCATCTCAGCACATAGCTACTATGCTTCAGATCTCTCTAAGTATGAAGGCATTGTTGCCAAAACCCAGTTTGTAACTGCTGCTTCCTGTGACTCATTGAACATCCTTAACCTTCCACCTACACGTCTTTTTCCTCGGTCCTTCAGATAAACAACAAAGATATAGTGGTTGGTCAGTGTCTGTGTTGCATAAAAGTAAGTTTACCACAGTACATTGTGCAGGATCTTTGTACAGTTATAGTCTGCAACATGCCAACAATTCAATTACAGTAATGAAGTAAATACTTTCACACAAGTTGTGTGAAAGTATTTACTTCATTACTGTAATTGAATTGTTACAGTATACAAGAATGGTCAAGAATGTTACAAGAATGGTCTTCCTCTCATTCTTCCTCCTCTCACTCTCACCCCACCTCTTCCTCCTCCTCTCACTCTCAGCCCAGCTCTTCCTCTTCCTCTTGCTCTTGCTTCCATGTTGGCTTCCATTGTTGCTGTAAGAAAGTACTCACCTGTGGTCTTTTCATAGTGCTAACATCCTGATTGATGAGCCAACAATTATGCTACCAGGTGTTTGGTCAGGTGGAACGTGTTTCTTGATCATTGGTCCATGTGTGAGGCATTTTGAATATCAGTGTTTTAAACCAGCTAACACGTGACTTTATGTCAGATTCCTGTGTCTTACGTGGAGAAACGTGTGCAGTGGTTTGCACAAAGTGCCATGTTGATTTGCAAATTGTGTGAAAAGCTGAAAACGTGTTTTGGAGATTTGAGTGTCAATTAAAATAATTGTGCTTTATGTAGCATTTTAGTGTGATAGCAATCGAGAAAAACGGTAAAAGGTTTGGCAGAGTGCTATGATAGGCTCTTGGGAATAGAGCGAAGTGATTGGTTAAACTGGAGAGTGACGCCCCCGATCACTTATTGAGAAGAGAGAGAGTAAGTTACATGGGAATAGTAAATGAAGAGTAAAGATGGTCTTCCTGGTTGAACTTACGCTGAGCTTCATGCTTAGCATTTTTAATGGCAGTGTTTTGAAAATGGCAAACAAGTGAATATGTCAGATTTCTGTGTCTTACTTAGAGAACCGTGTTTTGCGAAAAGTGCCAAGTTGATTTGCAAATTGGGTGCAGAGCTGAAAATGTGTTTAGAGTTTTGTAGATTTGAGCTGAGGTTTTGCTCTTTGAGTCTGAGTTTAAATAATTATGCTTTATGTGAGATTGTTGTGTAACTGAAAAAACTGTAAGTTCAATGGTATGTAGTCGGGTATGTAGTTTTGGGTGCAGTTAGTCATTCTGCAAAATGTATGAGGTGTTTTGCACTTTGGGTGTGTGGTTTTGTGAATTGTGTAAAGTGTTTTGAGAAAATGAGCCGTGTTTTCAAAAACTTGTGTTAGCAATTGTAAAGTGAGATGATGCTGAGATGATGCTGATAGTTCAACTTTGCATACTACCCTACAATGAAATGACAGTGTGCCACATTTCTTGGAAAACTGTTTTTGTTTTTAGTACAACTTGTGCGTTACATGTATTTACCAAATTTCAAAGTGAATTATTAACAATGGATCGATTACATTGCTCAACCAGTCCAAATAAAAAGGAAGCTGGTTGAGCAGATCAGATCAGAAGAATCAACAACGCAGTGGGGCAATACAAGGTTAGATATCTTTGAGTTCTCTTTTCAAATGTGCATTTATTGAAACGCTTCCTGACATAACATTTTATTTCTCAGACCTTTTCCCCTTTGCTTTTTTCATATAGAGATTTGTGAACAGGCACGTGAAAACCATAGACTGTACATATAAAAGTGAAAACATGAGGACTGTGATTCTCGCTCTGATGGTGTTGGTGGGGGTCAGCCAGGGTGAGTTCAGTGTTCAGGAAACAAAGAAAAAACCTTCCTGTCACAATGTGCTTCATTGGCATGATTGTAACAAAGAAAAAGTTGACTTTGATTTTGCCAGAGCTTCATAATGAGATCAATGAAAAAATTATTATTCAACAAATCTATGAAATAGCTAAATGCAATTAACCCTTTAACTGTGTTTGACTGTGTTTGTTTCGACATGTAAATTAATTAAACTGATCAGCCATAATATTATGACCACCTGCCTAATATTGTGTAGTTACTACTTTGCCAAAACAGCCCTGACCCGTCGAGGCATGGACTCCACTAGACCTCTGAGAGTGTATCTGGCACCAGGACGTTAACAGCAGATCCTTTAAGTCCTATAATTTGCGAGGTGGGGCCTGGATCGGACTTGTTTATCAAGCATATCCCACAGATGCTCGATTGGATTGAGATCAGGGGAATTTGGAGCCCAAGTCAACACCTCAAACTCGTTGTCTTGTTCCTCAAACCATTTCTGAACCACTTTTGCAGTGTGGCAGGGCGCATTATCCTGCTGAAAGAAGCCACTGCCATTAGGGAATACTGCTTCCATAAAGGGGTGTACTTAGTCTGCAACAATGTTTAGGTAGGTGGTATGTGTCAAATTAACATCGACATGAATGGCAGGACCCAAGGTTTCCCAGCAGAATATTGCCCAAATCATCACACTGCCTCCGCCAGCTTGCCTTCTTCCCATAGTGCATCCTGGTACCATGTCTTCCCCAGGTAACTGACATACACGCACCTGGCCATCCACATGATGTAAAATAAAACGTTATTCATCAGACCAGGCCACCTTGCCCATTGTAGGAGCTTTCGGCGGTGGACAGGGATCAGAATGGGCACCCTGACCGGTCTGTGGCTACGAAGCCCCATACGTAACAAACTGTGATGCACTGTTTGTTCTGAAACCTTTCTAACAGAATCAGCATGAACTGTTTCAGCAATTTGAGCTAGCTCTTCTTTTGGATCGGACAACACACGGGCCAGCCTTGGCTCCCCACACGCATCAATGAGCCTTCGCCGCCCATGACCCTGTCGACGGTTCACCGGTTATCCTTACATGGACCACTTTTGGTCTGCTTCGAACGCATCAACTTTAAAGACAAAGTGTTCACTTGCTTCCTTAAATATCCCACCCACTGACAGGTGCTATTGTAACGAGATAATCCGTTATTCACCTCACCTGTCAGTGTTCATAATGTTATGGCTGATCTGTGTATATCTTCATCGAAAACAACCTATTGTTAGGGTTTTTTTAACAGCCTTAGAGCTAAAAGAATTATTTTGAATCATTAAAAAGAAAGCACTATATAAACTTTTTTTCCCTTATTTCTCAGGAGAGATATTGGTGTGTAGCTGTGGAGGCACCTCAAAGATATGTTTACGTGGGGGGGAACCCTGCGGTTTGAATCAAGTCTGTTCCAGCTTTCTTGTTGTGGTTCAATCCCGTAAGTATAGGCCACTCATTCTAGTGTGTTGTAAATGAAAAAAATACATTCCCTGGAACAGTTCAGAGTCAATACTTTCATGGTTTCATTCTGTTTTTTACTCATGTTTTCACAGGTGTCACTTTCTTCAGCACCTGCATGACTGCAAATGCCTGCAGGCTTCTGTGTGACACTCATGCTGTGTAGTATTTCCTTAATAAAGATCAATCAGTTGCAGCAATTGTTGTTGTTTTTTTAAATATAGATAACTTTTTTTTCTTTTTCTTATGGAATTTTAAGTTTTAGTTATTGACATTTATCTGTATTATTTCCCAATTTACGCACTTTAATTATATATTGTTTTTGTTGATGTTACAAAAATATTCATTATTTTTGCATATTTTATCATATTTATTTGATTTAAAATGTAATTGTGTATATGTATTTAACATAACTTGGACTCAGGTAAAGTGAAAGTAGGCCTACCTGAACATTTTATTTAAGTAACATTTCAGATATTAAAAATGGCTAATAAGAAGTGGTGTAATTAATTACACCACTCTTTATTAGCCATTATTTATAATTTGATATTTTTCATCAAAGTCAAGTCATAAATCAAAGTCAACTTTATTGGCCAACTTTCAGTTTATGCGTACAGACAGAGAGATTAAATATTGTTTCCCACAATCCCGAGGATTAAAAAATACAAATACTGTATATATAAAAAATTACAACAGTCAGATGTGGATGAATATATTGTTTTAATGTTTGAGGTGCAATAAACGACACAGCAGCTTTTTGGCATGTTAAAACTATTATGTTCTGCCTCGCTCATGAGAGTAACAGCTGGCGAAATTACAGCCTCGCCTACTGATTTTAATTTAACCATATATCGAGCCCGATTCTCGATTTCAAATGTGTGCTCTAAAATGATATTTATAAATAACTATTTTCATTATTATAAGCAAGACAATAAATGGCAAAGATATGTAGAAAATAAACGTATTTAAGATACGTTCATAACAAACGTAACGTGGAAGAAAATATGCTGAGAAGATATGTAGAAAATAAACGTATTTGAGATACGTTCATAACAAACGTAACGTGAGAGAAAATACGTTTCTAGCTAAACGTAATTGAGAATGCAGTTTAGTTCTGTGGGAACGTAATTTTTAGGAGACAGGGTTGATATATTACAGTAAAACATTTTTACATTAGTGCAAAAGACTGTCCAGAGCAGCGTAAAAAGTGTTCGGTGCTGGATGTGTGTGTCTGTGTGTGTGGGGGGGATATTAAAGTCCAGGTCCAATGGGGACAGAGGGGAGGGAGAGAGAGGGGAGAGAGTTCAGCCTGGGGACAAAGCTGTTAAATCGGGTGGAGCTCGACGAGTGACGTGGTGTTGTTCCTCCAGGAGAGGTCCTCAGTGATGGTCACCCCCAGGAATTTGGTGCTGCTCACCCGCTCCACAGCATCCACTGATTGTCAGTGGGTGGGGGTGTTAGTTGTAGGTTCTCCTGAAGTCGACAACACTCCTCTTTCTTACCCCCACATTAAGGAAGAGATTGTCATGAATGCACAAATGGGAGGCCTGATTTTATGACTAGCACTAACACTTCATGATGGTGGAAGTCAGTGCTACAGGGCGGTAGTCATTGAAGCAGGATGGAGATGACTTATTCGGCACAGGTACGATGGTGGTTTCCTTGAAGCACGAGGGAACAACAGCCTGGCTCAGGGAGATGTTGAAGATGTCTGTGAGCTCAGCTGTGCAGTCCTTTGGTACCAACCAGGAATGTTGTCAGGCTGAGGCCCATCGTTTCGAGTGTTAATCCTTAACAGTGTGCTCCTCACACTGCCTTTTTTTCCTCCAACTTTTCCAACTTATTTTCTCAGATTGTTTATGTTCGCACAGCCAGACACCAAATTCAAAAGTGTAATGTGTAATGTGTTTGACAATACATTTGATTCTGATATAAAAATGTAATTATACAGTAATATGAGGTTATTTGATAATCGTAGTAAAATTATATTTTTAAACTGTTGTATTAATGTACGTGAAATGTAATATATAATCAATACGTTAAGAATTAATTCAATGTTATATTTCATATGTTCAAAATGTGTAATGACGTCGAACGAAGGTGTTTTCAATATGACAGTATGTTGGCTCTGCCTCTGAGGCCCAATATCCGGACATCTGATTGGCTGCAAATTGCATCACATGACTGACAAATCCAGGAAGTATTTTGGTTACCCAAGGCGGAAGCGTATATTTTACCGAACCTGAAAGTGTTTTCAAGAAAGAACATTGTTTACTAGGTCCAACACGGTAACAACTCACTATTCACAGGGAGGATTGGATGTCTTTACGTTGTTGGTAAGAACGCAAACTTGCTATGTTTGTCATTTGAGTATTTTTTCTTGTTAGCCGAGGTTAGCATGCTAACTGAGCGTTAGCCTCGAAGCTAACTTACAGTTGTTGTTTTTCATATGGTTATTCGGTCAAAGTTAGGATCAGCAGGCTAATCAGTTTGTTTAGACATTGTTATAGTCGTGTTATTATGTCAAATACATATAAATGATATGTTATTCTAGACTGTGTTTATAAAATAGTGATGCAAGATAATAAAAGTTGTGTGTCATCTCAGTTATGTATGTTAAATGAACAGATAAACCTTCAGAGTATCTCACCTTTTAGAAACTGTATCTCCCACATGTGATCTAACTAACGATTACATTATTTCTACAAACGTTAATAGAGTTAGGTGTTTATGTGGTTCCAACCAACATTACACTGTACACTTAATAAAGTACACATGTATGTGTTGTTAACTGGTAAAGTAGAAGATAACCAGATGTAAATAAACACATACCAATTTTTAAAAAAGTAAAATAATTAAAATAAAGGTTGAGTCCCTGTCCTATTTCTATAAACAAACAAATATAACTGGGCTGCAATATAAGACTTATTTTTATCATCAATTACTCTGCAAATGATCATGAATGATAAATCCTTTTCTCCCAAATATGTCAGGAAAAAGTGAACAATTTGTTGACAGACTATCAAAATGACTTCTTTAAAAAAAAAACGTCACCCAAAAAGGTCATGTTTAAACATCATGTTTTGAATTTAAAAAAGTTTAATTAGTTGGCAATTTGTGTTATGTTTAAGGTTCCTTGGCAATACGTCTGGCCCGACTGGTTATGCATCATTTGTTTTGTGTGTAGTAGTTCTAATAAATCCACTGATAATCCAGTAATTTCCCATGTTTTTATTCTTCAAGGTAGACTAGGTGACCCAACCGCTGCCCGATCCGATCTGGTTCTTCCCACCGGGAGTTTTGGCCTCTGACCCCGCTCACACTCAGTACTTCCAGACTTAGCGTTAACCTGTAGTTTCAGCCCATCTCATACATAACTGCCCCTTTCTCTGTCAATGGCTGGGCGTGGTGGAGGATCGACCAGGCCAAATGGTGCTGCCGCAGCAAGCAAAATCTGCCAATTCAAACTGGTGCTGCTCGGGGAGTCAGCCGTGGGCAAGTCCAGCTTAGTGCTGCGCTTCGTCAAAGGCCAGTTTCATGAATTCCAGGAAAGCACCATTGGAGGTAAGCGACAAAAACATACCTATTGACTTTTGAAGAAGTGTTTTTTTTCTTCAAAATATGTTTTGGCTGTCTCAGTTGACAGATTGTGTGATGGATGAATGTATCAACAATAGTTCCAATATATTGAGTTCAGAAATGTAAATATAAAGACATTGTCACATCTACCTATGGATATTTTCACACGTCCTGTTCCCAATGCCAAAAATGAACTTGAATGCTCAGAAGAAGTGACATGTATAATTCAAAATCTAAAATAAATAATAATTGTGTGTGTGAGTTTGAGAGAGTATTTAAGCCCTTAATTGCTGCGTACATGGACACTAAAACAACGTCATTCCACTGATCTCCATTATCCTGCTCTCCTCAGCCGCCTTCCTCACTCAGACCGTCTGTCTGGACGACACCACTGTGAAGTTTGAGATCTGGGACACAGCCGGTCAGGAGCGCTACCACAGTCTGGCTCCAATGTATTACAGAGGCGCGCAGGCAGCCATCGTGGTCTACGACATCACCAACACAGTAGGTTTCACCTGCAGGGAAACCACGCCATGATACACTCAGACGAGTTGTTGCTCTAGCAGTAGTGTTTTACTTCACTTAAGTGGCCTATAGGGCTGCCACTAAAGAGATATGTTCAGTATCGACGAATCTGCCAATTATTTTATGATTATTTTATTTGGTCAATTAAATGTCTACAAATTTGAATAATGATCACTGTTTGGAAAATCTTAGGTCATATCTTTTTAAATAGTCTTGTTGTGTCAGTCTAAAACCCAAAGTTATTTAGTTACCACAAATTATAACAGAAAAGCAGCTAATTTAATTTTCTTTATGAGGCTAACAAAAGCATTTTCTGCCATTTAAATGTTAATAATATTTTTTGTTACTTAATTGTTTTCATATTCCTCGCTATTGTTACCAAAAGTGGCACTAAAAACATCTTGATTCACAAATTGAGGCAAAACTATGAATATAATCAGAAGTCATTGAACATGTTGTAATGTTTTAGGAGATGTCATTTAATTGTATGGCAGCTGTGTTGAAGGGTAGAGCAGCCTAGGTTCTGAGTTTACAATGACATTTCACCTAGTCTAAAATTACACTTGTAGGTGTTCAGACATGAAGGTGTTTTGACGTCACACAGTGACAATACATATATGTTCCACTCGGCCTGAATATAGTTATCATGTGTGAACATTCATCGCAGAGTTCCCGTTAGAATATTTTTTCTCGCCGGTCAACATGCCCGTTAAAGTTTAAATTTTCCGGACAACATTTTAAACGTGCCGGTCAAAGGTCTTCTTTGTTATTTATTGAGCTTTAAAACAAATTGATATGATTCGATATTAAACAAACTAATTATAGTAGATTAACTACATTATTCAAAAGTGTTCAGTAATTTAAAATAACACAGGAATAATAAACGGAGCACTCTCCCCCTCTCCTGACAGCCCGCCAGTATCATGCAGCTCGCGGATCAGTAATGAGTGACCCGACAGTAAAACTTATCTATAACTAGTTTAGGTAGTTTGAGAGGTCATTAAAATAGCTACGTGTGATATTCTAGCCTGAAGTGTGTGTTTTGTCCGCTCACCGCTGCATGTGATTATGCAGAGCTGAGTGTCGACTCGTCAGC